CTGTTCAAAAAGCGTGTTGATAATATAGATCATTATATATATATATATATATATATATATACTTATATATATATATAAAACATATAAAGAGGAATTGAGGAGAGCCACCCCAAAGAAAAAGCTATGTTTTATAAATATATCTGCAGCTCCCACATCCCAAAGGAAGGAAAACCAAAACAAAACATTTACAACCCAAGCTAGTGGTTCCATGTGGTGGGCCCCGCAGGCTCAACCCCAGGGTGGGCCGGGGTTCCTGCAGAACATTCTGCTGAGGGCGGGCGGACCCCTTCCCGGAGGTTGGTCTCGGTGGCCCTGAAAGGTCAATCCAGACCGGCCTGGCCCATCCCATGGCCCTGGCTCAGACCAGCCTGGAAGGCGCATGTGGGCTCCAGGGCCTCGTGCTGCCAGGTTATTTTTAATTTGCCGGTTCCTTTGATGTGCCAGCCCTTTTTCCAGGGGACAGTCCCAGTGGAGGCTCAGCACAGGCCACCTCCCACGCCGGCACCTGGAGTTCTCAAGCAGAATTCCAGCGGGTGTCTCCAGGCCCCAGCCGGCCGTTGAGGGTCCCGGGTGGAGTCTGTGCTCCTGTGAGGGTCCCATGAGGGTCCCACAAGGGTCCTGCGAGGGCAGAGGGCACGGGTCTCACTTGCAGACGTAGCGCTCCACGGTGCGCTCGCACCGGCGGCAGGTGACGTAGCAGCACCAGTGGTACTTGCAGTGGCACCGCTCGACCACGCGGTCCGTGTAGGGGTTGTAGCCGCGCCCGCAGCACATGAGGTCGCAGCTGTCACTGCCATTGGACGTCTTGTTGCACTGCCTGGGAATGGAGGAGGAGGACAGTGAGAGAACAGCTCGCCCCCTCCAAGTCCTGTACCAGGGGCTCCCAGCCAGCCTGCAGGCTCCCCACAGCGTATGACTCAGTGCTTCTTGGAAAGTGTCTTGATCTTTGGGGAATTATTTTATTTATTTTAGTTTGCTATAGAGCACTTGCTCTCAGCAAAGAGACACAGAAAGAAAGACAGAGAGAGTGGGAAAGTGAGAGAGCACTCCTCCGGGGATGACACAGTGCCATCCCTTCTCTTCCATTCTTACAGGATTTTTTTTTTTTTTTTTTGGAGTTGCTATAGGGTGCGTGTGCTCACCAGACAGACAGAAACAGAGAGGCAGAAAGCGAGAAATCACCCCCCAGAGGGGATGGCCATGCCGCAATCCCTTCTCCTCCATTCTCCTCTCAGGATCTTGGGCACGCACACACATGCACCCGGAGAGAGTTTAAGCCACCGGCTCCGGGACTCAAACCGTGGTCGACTATGTGGGAGTCCAGCAACATAGCCATTATGCTAACTGCTGGTCCCATTCTTACAGGATTTGGGGCATGCACATGTTTTTCAATTCGCCAGGTCCAGGATTGAACTGTGCAGTCAGCTATGTGGGATCCAGCGGCCTTAACCTCCATGCCCCTGCTGGCCCATCAATGGGGACTTCTAAATAACCCTCTTACCCAAGACTACTTTTGCCTTTCCCTATATTTCTAATAGCAGTTCATCAAAATGATGGAGTTGTTTGGTTTTCTTGGGGGGTACTTTGTTTTGTTTCTTCTATTTCTAGATACTAGAAGGCCCTGCGAACCCATCTTAAAATTCTGTCTCCATATCTAATCTTTTATTAGAACAGACATCAAGACAGCTTTCACTTTTAGAATCCCAGGATAAATCCTGAGACCTTCAGCAGGCACTGGCGTGTGGCACGGTGGGCATGTTCCTGCTCGCTCATCCGAGGAGAGGACTTGTCGACCGACTAATGCCTCATGCCTGCCCCCGGGACCCATCTTACTGGGGGCACCAACGGAAACTCTATCTCCCCACTGGGGAGTCTGTGGGCATGTGGGGTTTTGACTCAGGGGCTGATGGCAAGGCCAGTGCTCGCTCACCACCCTCCATAGCAAGGCGCCAGGGCCCGGCAGGGGCTGCGTTCTTCCCGAATCACTCGTCGGGGATGAGAAGACCCTGACAGTCCCTGTGACTTACACTCTCGTGTTGTTATCCATTCTGTCTAACGAAAAGCATCTGCTCAGGTCGGTGGCCGTGTGCCAGGCTGAGGCTAGGGAGGGGCTCTGTTATGGGATACAGTGGGGACAGAGCAGCAGGGTCTGGGGTACTGGGCAGGGACAAAAGTCCCCCAGTCTCTATGGATGGAGGAAATCCAGAATGTCCAAGATGGGAAAGCCATAGAGATGACCAGATCCAATCCTTGTACTTCTCAATGGAGAAACTAAGGCTCAAGATGCCCAAGGTCACGCAAGGTGAGCACGAGGTGTACGAGAGTTCCGGAAGGCTTCTTGGAAGAGGAGGGACCAACTAAGCTACTTCATGAAAGATGAGCAGGAATCTAACATGCAGGAGTGGACAGGGTGCTGGGAGTAGAGGGAACAGCCTGGGCAAAGGCAAAGGACCATCCTGAGAAGAACGGTGTGTGGACAGGAAGAATGGCAGGGCAGGGCAGGAGGCTGGCAGGAAACTGGGTAGCAGTGAGGGAGAGAGGTCCAGGCCCAAGCTGGCAAGGAGGCTAGTACCTGGAGAGTGAGCAGGGTCACCTGCACGTGGAAGCTGCAGGCAGTCTGGGGCAAGAAGCAGGGGAGAACAGCAGGGAACACACATGCTCCCAAGCCAAACAGGCCTGAGTCCAAACCCCAGCTTGCCACTTACTGGCTGTGTGCCTTCAGGCAAGTTAGTTAACCTCCCCTGGGTGTGGTTAGCTACCTTACACCCCCCAAGTCCCCTTGTCCTTTCCCTGAAGCTCTCGGGCTTACCACTCTCCCCTCAGGGTTAGGAAGAAGCAGAGTTCCTTCTTATTTCTGGATCCCTGACATGCGATGTCTAGAAACCTGGCCTTCAAAATCAGCTTAGGCCTGGGAACCAGTAGTTAGCGTAATGGCTATGTTGCTAGACTCCCACGTAGTCGACTGTGGTTCGCGTCCCAGACCCGGTGGCTTATAACTCACGCCGGGCGCGTGTGCGTGCGTGCCCAAGATCCCGAGAGGAGAATGGAGGAGAAGGGATTGTGGCATGACCATCCCCCCTGGGGGGTGATTTCTCGCTTTCTGTCTCTGTCTCTTCTATGTCTCTGTCTGTCTGGCGAGTGCACGTGCCCTATAGTGAAAAAACCTCTCAAAAAAAGAAAAAATCAGCTTAGGCCTGAGATGTGCTCAGGATGGGGAGGGTAGACCACGGGCCCAAGAAAGGCCCTGGGGATGCCTGCTTGCCAGGCATGGAGCTTCAGGGGTACAAGGCCCAAGAAGAAACACAATGAGAGGGCCAGTACTTCCGGGGCTTTGGGTTGCCCTGGTTAGGTTGAGGAAGCTGTGAGGATCTTCCCAGCTAGGGACCCAGCCTCAGAAATACCCCTAGCACTTACCTGATATGTTTAGCAAAGCTTTTACATCTGATCCTCTGCACTCCCAAATTCCCTTACTACCTCTCTCAATTCCCCCTCCTCCAAGAGGCGTTCCTATGTCCAGGGTGGGGCAGGGCCCTTCGGAATTTCCCCACCTCTGGAATTTCTTATGTCACAACCTGAGCACTTTCAGTGTCCCCCAGGCCTGCCAGAGCCAGGCAGAGCAAGGCAGAGCCAGAGCTCTCTTGCAATCCCATGTAACTGATGGAAACAAGAAGTGTTTGCAGTTGTAGGCTCCTGAGACATTGGGCTCACTTGTTACTGCAGCAAAAGCTGACCAATACAGGTGACTGCAAGGGCCCAACCCTAGAGGAAGGTCTTGGAGTGGAGCATGAAAGGAATCCAAGGAGGCCATGCTAAGAAAGCCAGGAGGGCAGCAGCCTTTTTATCAGTAGGGTGGGCACCCTGTAGCAGCATGGGGCAGCTGGAAAGAAGGGGCCTGGCAGCCTGTGGGTAGGGAGCCTCAGGTAGGAGACTGCTGGCAGAACACAGAGGAGATGTAAGTGTAAATGGAGATCACGGCCTACCCTACAACCCTATGAGCTGGGAGATCTCGCCCCATCCCACAAAAGATGAGACTGAGCCTCTTCAGAGCAGTGAACGATTTGCTCAAGGTCACCCAGGCAGGAGGCCATGCCCTTCCTCAGCACACACACACAGTTGCTCACGGATCCAGGAGAACTTCTGTTTACCCTAGGGTCCTGGTGGGCTTCCCCCAGCCCCTGTGTGTTCTCGAATCCTCCTCACACCCATTGCTGTCCCACCCACCCCTGCTGCCTGGTCTGGACTCTTGCTCCTGTCTCCCTGGCCTGACCTGGTTCCATCCCCATTCCACCGACCCTCACAATCTGGTCCCCAGATGGGATTCTGGGCTTCCTCACAGAGCCTGCGGCCCTGGCCTGTGGGGAAGGAGCCCCCACCCCACCCCACCCCTGCTGGAGACAGGAGCGTGGGCTGCGGAGGAAGCAGATGCTGGCTGGGCACCAACTATGTGCCAGACGTGTCCTCAGACACCCGCTCTCTGCCTCCATACTCTTTTAACCCGCAGAACACTAGCTTGGTGGAATGCTATTAGGAGCTCCTTAATAAAAGAGTTCCACAGCCAAACACCTCTGGGAAACGCTGGCTTAAACAGACCCTTTGCTGCGGGATTCCTCAGAGCCTTTAATCTGTCCTTGGGCCTTGCGAATCGCCAGAGAGAATTTCCCAAACCTATGTGACTGCAGAACCCATTCTTTTATTGTGTCTCTGGACTCGCTTCCCCCAGAACCATCTCTGGGAGTAGCTCACGAGCCAGGCGCTGCAGCTGGGCCAGGGCCGGGGATAGGGCTCCAGCTCTGACTGGGGTCCGGGAGTCCCACTACCCTGTCTGCCCCAGTGCTTCGTTTGTCCAACAAGTGGGCTGTGTGACATGTGTCCTTCAGCTACTCATTTGATAAACCTGCTTTAGGCTGGGCACCCTCCTTCCTGTCCTCTGCCTCCCAATACAGTCACTGTCACCCCTGTCATGTCTTACCTACCAGGGGAAGGTGGGGCAGGCCTCCCACAGCCTTCGTCCAGCAGGGGCCCACCAGGGTGAGGGTAGGACAGGCACTCCCAGAAGTTCTGCAGGGACCCTTTGGACTCTGGCATCTCCACCTGGCACCCCTGGGGGCCACCTCCCTGCTGGGCAGGCACTCCCTCCTCCATGCCACCTGTACCCCGACCCTGGCCTTACCTGTCCTGTGTGCCGTGGGAGCCCACCTTCTCGTTCTTCATGCAGAAGTCGGGAGAGCTCTGCAGATAGACCAGCTCTGAGTCCTTCACGGGCCGGATGTCCAGGTCCTTGGGCACCAGGTGCTTGCGGGTGCCCATGGGCCGATGAACAACCTTGGTGGCCGACAGGTAGCGTGTCTTGAGGTCGGCAGCCACGTCCCGCAGCTCCTGCAGCCCCTTCCAGCAAGTGCGGATAGAGCAGGAGCCGGACACTCCGTGGCATTTACACTTCACCTCCAGAGAGGCACGCAGAGCCTGCGGACAGGGGAGGGCGTCGGGCAGGGTGGCCAGAGTCCTCCCCACTGCCCTGGGGCCCCAGCCCCACCCACGCATGGCAGGTGCTCTCAGGGGGTCATTGCCAGTGCGAGCCTTGAGGGACCGAGCTTTCTGCTGTAAAACTTGGAGGTATGGTGGTCTTCCTCCAGCCTGAGGAGCAGCTGAGTGGGTGGGGAGGGTTTTCAGGAATAACAGATGCCATTTATGAAGCACCTACTATATACCAAGGGCTCTAGCACAGAGTAGGGACTACACAGCATGATAGCCCTTCGGGACAGGTATCCTTATTTCCCCCATTTTAACAAGAGGAAACGAAGGCTCGGAGAGGCCTGAGGTCGCACAGCTATAAAATCGTGGAGGTGGGATTTGAACCCAGGTCTGAGGGTGATTCCAAAAGTCATGGCTTTTAATTCTTCCATGCCTGTTCTCATACACAACACGGGGGTCTGCTAAATGCTGGCTAGAAAAAAAGGGGAAAGGAGAAAAGAAGGAAGGAAAGAAGTGAGGGAAGAATTGGGGGAAGGGAGGGAGGATGAGAGGCAGGGGTGAATGCTCATGGCACCTGCCCCCACCCCTCCTGGCTGACCCGTCCCCTCTCAGGGCTCCCACCAGATGACCTGAATAGGCCACTTCACCACTAGGGCCTCTGACCTCTCCCGGACAAGGTGCACTTGCAGCCGCGCAGAGCGCTGAGGATGGCTGTGAAAAACCAGTCTGAGTACTTGCTATGGTGGAAAGTGAGAGAGGCCTGGGCTCAGGAGTTTGGGGTTCCGGCCCTGGCTTTGGAAATGACTCGGTCCCACCATCTCCCTTAGGCCTCAGTGTCCCCATTTGTAGCTGAGGGGCAGGAGTCCGATGCTTTCTAAAGACCCTCTCTTCTTTCCACACACACGGATGGCCCTGCTCTGCCCTGGACAGAGCTGTGGTGGAAACTGAGGCACGGAGTGGCCAGGGATTTGCCCCCAAGCAGGAAATCAGGGAGTCAGTGAGGGGCTGATAAGGTCCCAGGGCTCCTCCCCTTCACCAGTGCCAGGAAAGGGGGACCCAGGAGTCTATGTGCTTGGAAGATCCGGATTTGCAAGGGCACAGGGACGGACAAAACACCACTGTGGGGCATGGGGGCCCTGTGCATCTTCAAGGAGAGGTAAACGGGGGTTGGCACCTCATGTAGGAGGAAAGGGGCGCCTCCAGCATCCCGAGGCCACCCACGCCAGAGCTAACACATCGCATTTGGGATCTCATTCCATCCTCACGTGGCCTGTGGCCTGGGGATGGGGGGATATGGCTCCCCTTTCACAGATGGTCCTGAGGTGGAGAACCCCTTTGGATGGCACTGAGGGGAGGGCTGTGGCCCCACAGCAGGAGGGGCAGGGCTAGCAGGGGGACTGAGGGAAGGGTGCCCCCGGGTAGGACAGCTCGGCAGGGCTGGGAGGCAGGAGCCCCGAGTTCCCAGCCAGGTTGTGCCGCAGACCCGTGGCGTGACTGGCATCGGCCTGACTGGTCTCTGTGTCCCTAGCTGAAGCAGAAGACTAGCGCAGACATCCTGCATCCTCCCATGACTGACAGTGAGAAAAGAGGAAGACGGAGGAGCCCTGGACCTGGAGCCCACAGGCCAGCTCCCATCAGGCCTGAGTTTATTCTGCCTCACCTGGCGCCTCTGTGAAATGGGCTGACGGGTCATGAGATGGGCCTGCACCGAGCCCCTAGCTGGGCAGCCAGTCTGGGCCTCCCTGGGTTATTCCCCGTCTGTGACACCTGCCCCAGAGGGGTTTCGTGGAGCACAGGGGAGAAAGTTTGCCGAGCTCCAGCACAGCATAACACCCATTAGAATACAGCTTTCCTTCCTTTTTAAAAATTTCCAAGATATGACAAGGCCTGCTCATTCATGTCTGCATTCGTTTACACAAACTTGTGCGCAGTGAGGTGAAGAAGTAGTGAAGGTCTGATCGCGACAGACGGCAGGGGAAGCTGGTGGTTATTTTGGGGGGGTGGGTCTTTCGGGGGACTCCTTAAGCATAAGGCTGTACTGCTCACGGTGCCCACAGCCTTTCAATGCCTGGAGGAAGAGCCTGGAGAACAGGGCAGATGGGGCTGAGTACCAAACCACCCCATTTTACAGATGGGAACAACTGAGGCCCAAGGGGAAGTGATCTGCCCAGCGCCATTCAGTGAGTTCCATGCCAGAGCCGAGGCCAGAACTCAGAGCTCCTGACTCCTAGCACATGGGTCTCTCTGCTTGACCACCCAAATCCCAGGGTGACCCCCTGGAGGAGGCAGGGCCCAGCAAGCCCCAAGCAAGTGAGATGGTAACAGCTGAGGGAGGCTGGAGGCACGGCAGGTGTGGGCCAGTCAGGGCCCGTCCCCCCGCCCCCCTCCATCAGGGCACTCTGGGTGGCCCTCTGCCTGCTGATGGCACAAGCGCAACCATCTGGGGTGGGTGGGGTGGGTGGTTACCTGTCTCCCCACTTCACTGTTGTGTAGACGCATCAGTTTATTGGCTTGGGATCCTGTTTTTTTCACCTTCATAGGAGCATCGGAAAACTTGGCCCCCATGAGGAGCCCGTAGCTGAGGTTGTCCGCACATCCTCCCCAGCGGTTCCCGGGCCCGGGTGGCTCACCTGGGACGGGGCCGCAGGAGCAGCCGGGCAGGTCGCCGGAGGTGCAGGCCCGGGCGATAGAGTGGCCGATGGCGGGGGCCGGCAGCCGATCAACGCAGCGCCACCACC